ATCTTTCCCAACATCAGGGTCTTTTCCAGGGAGTCTTCTCTTCTCATGAGGTGGCCAAAGTATTGGAGCCTCAGCTTCACGATCTGTCCTTCCAGTGAGCACTCAGGGCTGATTTCCTTCAGAATGGATCGGTTTGATCTTCTTGCAGGCCATGGGACTCTCAAGAGTCTCCTCCAGCACCATAATTCAAAAGCATCAATTCTTCGGCGATCAGCCTACTTTACAGTCCAGCTCTCGCTTCCATACATCACTATTGAGAAAACCATAGCTTTAACTATACGGACCTTTGTCGGCAAGGTGATGTCTCTGCTTTTTAAGATGCTGTCTAGGTTTGTCATCGCAATGAACAACAATAATACTTGGTATTGTTATAGCGCTTGACATTTAAAATAAAGAAACTAATTCAACCCAGTAATATCTTACAGCAAACTGTTAGGACAGTTTTATTAGCTCTTTAACCTTTAAGTGCCAGGTTGGAAACTATTCTATACTGCCAAGCTTATGCTGGCAAATGAGAAAACATCCTTCTGTAATAGTTAATTGATCTCTGATTTATTTTTATTTTTTTACTGTATGATTTACTGTATGGTTCTATGTATGATTCTAATAAACCACTCTGATTTTTTTAAATGATTAAATGTATATAGACATGTTTATGAATTGATTAGGTAGTTAGTTAACTAATAGTACCACTATCTAATATTAAATAAGAACTTAACAGTGGATATCCAGTTTCACAACCAAGGCTGGATCCATAGCTGTCGACCTTCCCTATTTTGCGGGAAATTCCCTTATTTCAGCGCCATTTCCCGCTGCTTCCTGCTGCTATCTTGGATTGTTAGATATCCTGTAGAATGTCCCTGGGACAGGTGAGGCTGCTGATCCCTTATTTTCGAGGCTGCTGATCCCTTATTTTCAAATCTGAAAGTTGACAGCTATGGCTGGATCTATTCTAGACACATCAAAGAAGTGTTTCAGTTAAACACATTGTAAACTTTGTATGAGAAATTGGATTGGCAAAACCGGAACTCCACAGCGCCATCTGCTGCCACAGTGTTATAATGCATATACAATGCATAAAAAGCACTTTTTCTTTGCCAATGTAGCTGAGTCCCAAGTCAGGCCAAGAAACAGGTTAACACACAAATGGGTAGGAAAATGAAAGTAACCCCAATAACAAGCTACAGGGTAGAATCTTTGCTCCAACTCTCTCATTACCTGTTACTACACTGCCTTTCAAAAATATAGCAGGCTTTGCCTCTTCATAAAGGATGAGTATGCCTACAAATTATATCCAAATCTTGCAGGGGGGGGGGAACCAAACTTTAACAAGGGCATGTCTGAAAACCCCTGAATGTATCTGCCTAAAATCAGACAGGCTTATTCAGTTTTGGAGGGACTCCAATGCTTGTAAATGTATGCTTCTACAAAGAGCGGGCAGAACTGTTATCATTCTTAGGTTCCCTGGTATAGTGAAAGGATTGGGGGAGACTAGAGTTTCATTTTTATCCTGTTCTAATTCAGCCCCAAATAACAAGCTGGGATGGAAAGATATGAGTGGCTCTGAAACAGATCAGGCTGCTTCCCAAATTTTATGGCTGGTATCCACCCCTACAACTATTTAGTATTTGACAGCTTATTTCATATTCGACACCAGCTAATTTCTATTTTTCTTTTTAAAAAAATGACAGGCCCCCTAATCTAGAAAGTGCGGGGAGTTAGAAACAAAATGTCACATTCATAATGCAAATTGCACTTACAAACCTGTCATTAAGAATTTGAATGGTAAAATGGAATTTGGGCAAATGTCAAGAAGCTGCAAATATTTATTTCACATCTGGGCAGTGCGCTGGCAGAGAGAGAAGATTTCTGCAGCCTTTCTCTGAATAATAAAAGCATTCAGTCTGTGCAGATTTCAGGGAGAGCAATCCTACGGAAGTCAGGGAGGGAGGGAGTCTGTACCAGAGGAATGAGCTACCGCCTAAGCCTTACAGGGCACACACCAGCCAGTACAGGTGATGGAGCTGTTTCTCCCCACCCCACTTCCATTTTGTAGTTAAAAGGTAAAGGGACCCCTGACCGTTAGGTCCAGTCGTGAATGACTCTGGGGTTGCGGTGCCATCTCGCCTTATTGGCCAAGGGAGCCGGCGTACAGCTTCCGGGTCATGTGGCCAGCATGACTAAGCTGCTTCTGGCGAACCAGAGCAGCGCACGGAAATGCCATTTACCTTCCCCCTGGTAACACTTACTATTATTATTTATTAGACTTGTTACCGGCTTGTTCCCTGACGGTTTCCAAGAAACAACAATTTTAAAAACAATAATATAAATACATTTTAGCATTTAAAACAAAACAACCCCTATAACAGCCTGAGGAAGCTTCGGCAGCTCACTAGTAAGAAAACATAACCATTCATAGGTGGATTCTGGACACATTAAAAAAAAAAAATCTTTTGAAAAATATATTGAATTTGCCATAAGCTCACCATCGCCATCTAGTGTCACATTTGTATAATGCACTTAAAACACACTTAAAACGTTATACAGTGGTACCTCAAGTTACAAACGCCTCAGGTTACAAATGCTTCAGGTTACAAACTCTGCTAACTTGGAAGAGTTACCTCGAGTTGAGAACTTTGCCCCAGGATGAGAACGGATATCGTGTGCCAGCAGCGCAGCGGCAACAAGAGGCCCCATTAGCAAAAGCACGCCTCTAGTTAAGAACAGTTTCAGGTTAAGAACGGACCTCCGGACAAATTAAGTTCGTAACTAGAGGTACCACTGTATTTGCAGCTGTATAGCTGAGTCCATAATGTTATGTAATTTAATACACTTCAGTTAAACCCATATAAGGTACCCTGCCTGTACAGGACAGTCTTGCCAGACTCTAGGGTTGTGCGCTCACGTGGCCAGCGTGACAAGCTGCATCTGGCGAGCCAGCGCAGCACACAGAAACGCCGTTTACCTTCCTGCTAGTAAGCGGTCCCTATTTATCTATTTGCACCCGGGGGTGCTTTCGAACTGCTAGGTTGGCAGGCGCTGGGACCGAGCAACGGGAGCGCACCCCGCCACGGGGATTCGCACCACCGACCTGACGATCGGCAAGTCCTAGGCGCTGAGGTTTTACCCACAGCGCCACCCGCGTCCCTAAACCCATATAATATTATGCAATTTAGTACAGTACCATTTAACCCGTAGAATATGTAATTTAATATGATGCTGTTCCATCTGCGTAACTTACCCTTTTAAATCCATCTAACAGGGCAGAAGATATATATTTCCCACCTATGACAAGCAAATGTGACTTTACGACGACCAGCTTGCTTTTTCTCTCTCTGCCCAGCTGTACAGCATTATGAATTATGACTATCACAGCAGCCAGCAGGTGAGAGAAAGTGCACAATAAGATGACATGATGCAACACCCACCCACACAAAATATTTCGCCAGGAGGAGGCAAACTAAATAAGATCAGCGCCGTTTCCCACCTTGCTCTGGTTAAACAAAATCAGTGGCAAAGGCCCAATTACTTTCAACATGAGTTGGACAAGCTCCTTGCTATGCCTGGTTTTGTTACAAGATTGGAAAAGACACAGCAATAAATTGTTTCTATACTATTGCCGTGGCAGAGTGCCAGCGAGGGACTATAATTTGTGAATCAGTTGTTCATGAGCTGGCTGGAGGTGTATGGAATAGGCGTGGTACGCAAACACAAAGGTGGTGTTGCGATTCGCCTTATCAATCATCGGATATAAAGTAAGAAAGCAACACACATTTATGCAGAGCACGCCTGTGCCTTGGGTCCTTTGCAAGGAGTTTCCCCACCCTTGCGCTGCACTCCTAATGACGGCACACAATCGAATTCTCTGCAAACTACCATGGAACAAAATCACCGAAACATTCCATTACACTGTAGCCCGTAATAATAACGTCTCTGAAATTACAGCAGGGCTTGCCAGCTGCAAAAAACAAAACAAAACAAAACAAAATGCCATACATGGCTGGAATTGGAGTGCTCTGTGGAAGCATTAATGCAGGAACTTTGCGGCTTTGAAGGTGCAATTGGGGCTCCTTTTTCCATCAATGCCAGCCAATGGTCAGGGATGATGGGAGTTGTAGTCCAGCAACACCTCAGAGGGCCACAGGTTCCCTATCCATGTATTCATGCATTTTGAGAAGGTTGATGAAATGTCATCCTAGATGGAAAAGCTCTACCTGTCTTGTTGTGATCTGTGGAACTCTGGTTCTGCACTATAGCCAGGAATGGGGCTTAATTTGAGTTGGAATACACCAAAGCTTAGGGGCACAGGTAGTGCTGTGGGTTAAACCACAGAGCCTAGGGCTTGCCGATCAGAAGGTCGGCAGTTCGAATCCCCGCGATGGGGTGAGTTCCCGTTGCTCGGTCCCTGCTCCTGCCAACCTAGCAACTCGAAAGCACGTCAAAGTGCAAGTAGATAAATAGGTACCGCTCCGGCGGGAAGGTAAACAGCGTTTCCGCTGCTCTGGTTCACCAGAAGCGGCTTAGTCATGCTGGTCACATGACCCAGAAGATGTATGCCGGCTCCCTCGGCCAATAAAGCGAGATGGGCGCCACAACCCCAGAGTCGTCTGCGACTGGACCTAACGGTCAGCGGTCCCTTTACCTTTGCTAAGTCCTTCTGACAGTTTTTTCACCTGATAGGCAGGTTAGAAATGCTTTCATGAATGAACGAACAAACAAATAATTGCCTGGCTGGCGAACGTTTCATAACCCAATTGTCTGCTATTGATTCCCATTTGCAAAGAATTAATACCATGCCTAAAAAGCATTGGCCGTGCCAGCTTGGGCTGGTGGGAGTTGGGAATCCATCAACATCTGGAGGGGATCATGTTCCCCATTCTTGTCCTAAGCATTGAGCCATAAATCCAGACCATGATGACATGCTTGTACAATTTGCACACTAAGCAGGGTACAGACTTTTGTGAGTACTGAGAGGGTATCTATTGACTTTGAAAGCATACCTCATTTTTTCTTTTATTCTTAGCATAAGCACCAGCAGTCTTCAATAAGCCAATCGTCCCAAAGTCCCAACCAACAGGCAGCTTCATCAGAGGCAAAAGCAGCTCACTGCTTCTTCTTTTTCTGCCAGAAATAATCAGAGCACCATCATCATCACAAACCATTCACTTAAAAGCCCCTTGTTATACTGGATGGAAGAAATAAGGTTATAATGACCCAGGTAATTTAAAGTCCTATGCATGCCAAATTTGTGATTAACATTCTGCTATATTTTTTTAAGCCTCTGCTCATGCTGCCTGTGTGTTTTCAGTATTCTCCTCCTTACAATTGTGATATACGGTCCATAGAGGATTATGTAATGCATCTCAGAAGTTGTGGTTCACTGAACACATTTCTATCCTCTGTGCTTTGAACTAGCTGCCTAATATAAATGGGCAAGTTAATTTTCCCTTAACGTAATAGAGTTGCACTTCTGACATTCTTCAGATGACACACTGATACCCTCGCCAGGCTTGGTGATTTGTGACTTATGAACTTCCAAACAACACAGGGAGATGAGTTTCTCAGCAAGTCATCTACACACTACAGAGGGGATCAGAATTAGAATCAGCCATTAACCACCCCCTCAGTTTCCTGAAAGGCCTGTTTGAGAAGGGAGAACAGCTGCTGGCCCAAGAGTCTTGCTCCATAAACAATTCTGTGGAACTGATCCTCCCCCGAAACTTCACCAGAGTTTGCAGATTGCTGCTAGATCTCACCATGTGTGCATGAGCCCCCCTGGTGCGTTAGTTGGTCACCGATCTCACCCATCAGGTAGCACAAGAGATCTTTCCATGCCTAGTGCAGTGGCTAAGCTGTCTAAGAATGATGGGAATTGTAGTACAAAACCCCAAGGCTCAAGAACACCGGCTTGGGAACTACTGTTTATATGCTGATTAAAAGACTTGTGATCTTTTGCCCAATATAAGTTAAAAAACTGCAGTTGGTGGGACAGCACCCTATTTTCCATTATAGATCATCTTCTTCAGTTTCTTCTTTATATTTCATAACATCAACCCAGTCAGAAAAGATGTTCTGTGGTAGAAAGAGTACTCATAATGGCTATGCTGGACTGCTTTCATTCTCCACAGCTTTTCATTTCCCACGGGGAGACACACAAAACTCTCTTTTCTCTTCCAGGATTTGGAAATAGTGCTAGAGCAGGTATTATCTTGACAAGAATGTGATGTGACATATATGGAAGACTAGCAAACAAAAGTGTCAGGTTTCAGATCTCTAATGATGTGTTTCTCACACTGATAGTGCATACACAAATTATTTTCCCCCTCAGCACCCAGGAGAACATAGCTTTGGATCCTTGGAGTCTGAAGATGGCATCATGAATGCTTCAGACCTAAAAGATGCTAGCAGTGTAGGGGCTCTTCTGGTGCTGGAACTTCTGAGGAGGCTGGGATCTCAAAGACTGGTCCAGATGGCATATTCTCCTCCTCTGAATCCATGGCCTCTTCCTCTGAAGATGAGGAGGTAGAGCTCTGGGTCATGGTAGGGCAGTGGAGAGAGTCCCACAAAAAGTGCCCTAGTCCACACCACTCCATAATGTTCACATCTTGAGTTGCTGCTGGTATGAATCACTGCCGGAGTGAGAAAAAGGTGCCACATACTTGTCATCAGCCCCATGAGACAGTGTGGGGAATTCTTCATGGGTTAGCATCTGCATAATAAGTCACATCGTAAGCCTTCATTCTCCTGTTTTTATTTTCCTTCCTGTTGGATGTGGTTTCTGTCGGGTGAGAAGAGTGGACAACTTGGCCCTCGCCAGTTACAGAATCAAAGAGTTAATTTCAAAGTTTATATGGGATATAAGGACTGGGGATTTAGATACTCTTGGGCATGATGGGGCGTGATTGTTTTTTGAAAAGTGGAGGAGGAAAACATTAAAGTTTGTGTGCACAAGCCCTTAGTAGCAAATGTACTTTGTAACCTGACACCAATCTACTGTGGCAGATCTTTTTACTGAGGCCTCCAGGCAATTTCAGCAGACAGTACTTGCTGCTGACATGCATCAAGGGTTGTAAACTGCAACATAGAACCAAGCATAGTGTTCTTCTTCGTTTATAGATCTTCCAATGACTCAGAAGTACTGGTTGATGTGCCTTCATTAAGCTCCTTGTGGGACCCAGGTGTGAATACCTAGGCTGACATTTTATATTACAGTCTGAGAGCCAACTTGAATTTCCTCCAAACCCATTCAAACTGGGTTAAGGAAGCTGGTACTCCAGTTATGGGAGGTGCAGGCTGATACAACAGGTGGAGGAATAGCCACAGTTTCCTATATGTTAGAAATGTGTGGTCCTCCATGTGTGGTTGGACTCCAGCTCCCATCAGCCCCAGCCAACATAGACAATTGTCAGGGATGATGGCAGCTGTAGTCCAATAGCACATGGAGGGCCATAGGTTCCCTGTCCTTTCTATACATAGCACAGGAGAGGAAAGGAAGACACATAGCTCAGAGAATCCCAAAATGGCGGCCATTCTCCTCAGCATCCAGGGAATCACCACTAAAGCCCAGTGATCAGGAACTCAGCCCTCATGGTGGACATGTAAATTAGCCAAGGACTTCTGGGGGGTGATATATAATGAAATGAAAAAAATGTATAAAAGGTTTTTGTAAAAAGACCAGAAGCCTTTCTTCTAGGAATGATAGGGTCAGATGTCCCCAGAGATCAAAAGAACTTGTTTCTCTATGCAACTATGAGAGCCCAAATGCTATATGCTCAGAAATTGAGGGAGGGAACAGTACCAACAAGCGAGGAGGGCCAGATGAAACTGATGGAGTATGTAGAATTAGCAAACCTAGTAAAAGAATAAGAGAACAAGAAGAAAGAGTTTACAAGGAAGATTGGAAAATGTTTGTAGAATATCTGGAGAATTATTGCAAACAGGTTAAAATGTTGGAGTAACTTCAGCAGCATAAACTAAGCAGAGATATAATGAGACAGAGGGGAAAATATGGAGTACCCGTATTTTTCGCTCCATAAGACACACCAGACCACAAGACACACCTAGTTTTTGGAGGAGGAAAACAAGAAAAAAAATATTCTGAATCTCAGAAGCCAGAACAGCAAGAGGGATCGCTGCACAGCGAAAGCAGCAATCCCTCTTGCTCTTCTGGCTTCTGGGATAGCTGCGCAGCCTGCATTCGCTCCATAAGATGCACACACATTTCCCCTTACTTTTTAGGAGGGAAAAAGTGAGTCTTATAGAGCAAAAAATACGGTATTTAGAATATGCGGCAGTAATAGATAACTAAAATGAACTGTGGAAGGGGCGGGAAAAGGAAGTCAGTGATTAATGTATGGTTGTATTGGTTAATGTATGAATGTGAAAAATTTGTAACAGAAAAAAATAAAAATAGAAAATAAAAATAAAAAAGGAACTCAGCCCGCAATGCTTGCACGCAGCTGACGCATGAAAGCAGCCAACGAACGCGCGACAACAGGGGCAGATCTCAACAAGAGTGCTGCATGGGGCAAGGGCCTGACTCCCGCATTTTGGCCCGTGTGATCAACCCGTTCAGCACAATTTTGCCTGATATGTCAGGCCTGCCAAATACTATCCTGCCAGGCTTCATTGCCCTTCCTTCTCCTCATCCCTCCTTCTCTTCCCTACTCCAGCCTGATATACCTTGGGAGCAGAACCCGTTCACAGGACCTGTCCAAATCAATCCAAGAGCTGATTAGGTGGCCACTTCCGCATCACCAGATGCATTACTGAAACAGAGGCCACCAGTTGGCAAACATGAACATAAAATGTGCACATGCTAATATTTATGGATAGATGCACATTTTGAAAGAACTGCTAGTGGGTGGGATCCTGTATACCCTTTCCTTTTTCTTCTTGGATCTGTGTCACCTATAAAAGTTTTTTTAAAGACATGCGGAATAGTTTAAAAAAAGAAATACTAAAATCTAAATAGAAATACAATCTATTTCAGGCAACAATTGTGACTTATAGTATCTGCAGTATATGGCTGTGCCCTGAATCATCACCAGCGTCATTAATTTATATACCTTTTAATGCTAAAATAGGCTTCTGGGTGGTGTACTAAATGTTCTTTTAAAAAACTCAGTAGGCTATCACTTAATTAGTTAAAAGGCCATTGATTGATTAGTCGATGAGTTTAAATTGATGGGTAGTGAAAATATTCCTGATCTCCACCCCCACCCCCCAGCTCCTTTCATCAGGCAGCTTTTCTGTCTCCCTCTTAATCATCTTGCCCAACTCTCTTACTTTCCTTGCAAACGTCTGATTCCCAGCTCGATCTCCTTTCGCAGCGTGCACTTGCAAAGATAAAGGCACAATCCAGCTACTCCAATGTAATTGCAGCCACTCCACTTTCAGCTTGTCAAGCCTTAGATTCTAACCCGATTAATGGGAAAAGTAAAATGGGGATGCTTTGACATTTCCCAAAGGCATTGCCCTTTCATCGCAAATACTAATTGCCCAGACACCTGTGTGCCACCAGCTTTTGCTGGCACAAGTCTCCCTGGTTCTATTAACTTAAGTAGAGCCAGGCCAAACCTGTGACAGAATCTGGAACAAATACCCAGTTTTGTTTTGTGTGGATAAAATCTTAACTCGCCCCAAAAAATTGAGTTTTCCCAATGATTTCACGCATTTTTGCAAAGTGTAAGCGCAAATACATATCTCTAGAGGCCTCTTCTAAAACTGAATGTCAGAAATGCATACAACAATGTTTTGTTTAAATCAGTCGTCAACTTTGATGATCAACTTCAGACTCCATACAAGTGCCAGTAGTAGGATTTACTCCCAGGTACACGGGTGGGTGGCGCTGTGTATTAAGCCACAGAGCCTAGGACTTGCTGATCAGAAGGTTGGCGGTTCGAATCCCTGCGACAGAGTGAGCTCCCGTTGCTCGGTCCCTGCTCCTGCCAACCTAGCAGTTCGAAAGCACGTCAAAGTGCAAGTAGATAAATAGGTACTGCTTTGGCAGGAAGGTAAACAGTGCTTCCGTGCGCTGCTCTGGTTCACCAGAAGTGGCTTAGTCATGCTGGCCACATGACCCGGAAGCTGTATGCTGGCTCCCTCGGCCAATAAAGCGA